CACTTCTTCTTTTTTTTTGGTCCTTTTGAGACAGGGTCTCCCTGTAGCCCCAGCTGTCCTGGAACTCACTATGTAGACCAGGCTGGCCTTGAACTCACAGAGATCTGCCTGCCTCTGCCTCCCGAGTGCTGGGATTAAAGGCGTATGCCACCACGCCTGGCTTCCCACTTCTTCTTTTAAGAAAATGGCCTTGAAAATAGTTCTCAGAGCCCAGCACAGTGGCACACACCTGTGATCCCAGTATTTGGGAGGTGGAAGAGGTGGGACCAGAAGTTCAAGGTCATCCTCTGCATTAGTTCCAGGCCAGCCTGAGCTACGCAAGAACTTATTTATTTTTATTTTTTTGTGAATTTCAAATAATGTATTTTTATCAAATTTAAAAGATCCCCTCCCCCATCTCCACCACCTATTTCATGTACTCTAATATACATCATATGTATACATATATACATATATGTATATATATATGAAGTCAAATTTGTATCCCTAAATACTCTTTGGTGTGAATCCATCCACTGGAGCCTATTCAACCTACCAAGAGTTTCACCCTTAAACAAGATGGATTCCCCCCCCTCCCAGCAGCCATCAGTTGCCATTAGGTCCTAAGTTGGGGTTCTTACACACCTCCCTATGTCTATGCTGGGACTTTGTCTGGTTTGAGCTTGCATGGGACTTGTGTATCCTGTTACCATTGCTGTGAGTTCATTTGAGAAACTTCCCAACTGTCTGGAAAACTCTGTCTCCCTGTGGTCATCCACAGAGATATTGTTTATAAAGGGGGGGGGTGGGGACAGGAGACATGGCTCTGTGGGTTAAGGTGTCTGTGCCAAGTCTAATGACCTAAATTCCATCTCTGGCCCCACATGGTGGAAGGAGAGAACCCATAAGCTGTCCTCCTGCCTCCACAGGTGTACCATGGAGCACACAGCAAATAAACAAATGCAAAATAAAATGTTAAAAAGAAAAGGCAGGGGGCTGGGCGTGGTGGGCATGCCTTTAATCCCAGCACTCTGGAGGCAGAGGCAGGCAGATCTCTGTGAATTCAAGGCCAGCCTGGTCTACATAGTGAGTTCCAGGACAGCTGGGGCTACAGGGAGACCCTGTCTCAAAAAGACCAAAAACAAAAAGAAAAGGCAGGAACAATGATTCTTCTTATTAATATTTACACGGAAATATATAAGCCTATATTTCAAAACTCATGCATCTAAATTACACCTCACACATTGGAGCCCTGCACACAGAGAGAGGAAGGTGTTTCCAGTCACCTTGGAGCAGGTCCTGATGCCAAGGTGTCTCAAGCCAGCCTAGCACAGAGATGCCAGAGATGGCAGCCTCACCACAGATGTCCTGTGGGTTTTTTAAGGCCCCAGGTTGTATGAGCTTTACCCAGGCTGAGTAAATGCCACACTTGCAAACCAAGCTCGAGTCCCTTCTTTGTGGCTGCTGTTAAAAAGTGGGTCAGGAGTGTTTCCTTTTGCCTTTTTACAGATTGTCCTATTTCCTCTGTTGCTGTGATAAAACACTGACCTAAAGCAACTTGGGAGAAGAAAGGGTTTATTTGGCTTTTACTATACAGTCCATCATCCAGGGAAGCCAAGGCAGGAACTCCAGGCAAGAACCTGGAGGCTGGAATTGGAGCAGAGACCACAGAGGAACACAGCTTCCTGGCTTGCTCCCCTGGCTTGCTCAGCTAGCTTTCTTAAACAGCCCAGGCTCACCTGCCCTAGGTGACATGGCTGGGAGTGGGCTAGGCCATCCCACGTCAATTAGTAATTAAGAAAATGGTCCACAGACACAACCACGGGCCAATCTGGAAGAGGAAACTCCTCAGTTGAAGTTCCCTCTTCCCTAGTGTGTCAAGTTGACAACCAAGATTAGTCTCACACAGGTCTTACAAATCAGCCTGGATTTCTAAGAAAATCATGACATTTCCTAAAGACATTCTAGTGGCCGAATGCTGTAAGAGTGGACTGACCACAATGACCAACACCCAGCTCCTTTTGTGTATTCTCAAAGACCCCCTTTGCTGTGGTCCTGCAGACTTCATTGAGGCCTCAGTCTCTGAGTCTCCAGTAGAGGCAGAGGTCCTTTTACCCTAATTCTGGGGGGCATAAATGCACCCTGTTAAGGTTTAGATAGCCCCACCCCCTCACCAACAGGGTCTCAGGGACTTCTCAAGCTCCTGAGAAAAGGGAACTGAGTTGATAAGCACCTTGGTCTTTGAAGTCAAGAGAAGCAGACTTTTCTCCACTGTTTGGCCAACACAGCAGGCTTCCCCTTTGATCTCTAAAAAGAACAGGTTTTAATAGTCCTGCTTTCCCCCCCACCCCACCAAACTTAAAAACAAATACCTCTTCCCGCCTTCTGCAGGAAGTAGAAGCCTCCCCCTTTAAAAGACCCCAGCTCACAACCTGGGCAGACATTTTCCCTGCCCCGAAGGGAATCTGTCCCATGTGTTCCTTTGCTAATAAACTCCATTCTGGTGGAGTTTTATCTGTGTTCTGGTGCTTTTTCCTGATCAACCAGATTCATCCATAGGCTACTTTTTATCTATCACACCCCTACCATACAGGGCCACCAGAGCACAAATTGGATTCCACATTACTCACATAGGATGGCACCAGGGTCACCAAGAGTCTGTTTTCTTTCCTCAATCTGGCAAAAAGAAAGAAAACCAATGACATACCAGATCCTGACTAAACACAACTGCCCAGATGTAAGGAAACTGAAACTCTGTGTCCTTCCCTCAAGGGGCTGAGATGAAGACATGACACACAAAGGGATATGCTCAGGCCAGGAGGGACATGTTAGGGGTCAGTGAAGACCAGGAAGGTGATCTGTGAATCAAGACCTGAAGGAGGTGAGGGGTGAGCCCTGCAATGTCTGGAGAAGAGCTTTCAGGGCAAAGAACAGCGAGTGCAAAGGTGGAAAGACAGACACTGTGTGGGCAGGACAGGAGGAAGCCAGAAGGCAGGGATCAGTGATCAAGGAGGCAAGATCGACTGGGGAAGGACGTAGCAAATGTGCCCCATAGGTCACACATTTTATGCTATCATCGTTATGGACAGTTTTATTGAAGACATGGTACAGAAACTCTAAGAAAGACTGAGCTGCTTTTATCTTTGTGATCCACTGGCTTCCTCATGCAGACATACATGTTGTGGTCTCAAAATGGCTGCCAGTGTTCCAGATATTGCAGATTACAACCACATTTGAGACAGGAAGGCAGGGGAGATTCATTTGTTCTTTCTACTGAGAAAACAAAAGTTGTCTTCACCTCCCCTCAAAGCCCCTCTCCCTGACTGAATACTGTCACCTTCCTCTGCTAAGAAGTGTGAGGGCCACTTACATCTTCAAAAGAACCAGGAAAGTCACTGTCAACACTGACTGAAAAGCCATTTTTGCTTTTTCTATAATGTTTTATATCATACTCTAACACACATAGCTGAAGCATAAATAATGCTTCCCTCTCCCCTCCCTCCTCCTGTCCCTTGTTTTCTCCCTCCCTCTGCCCTCATCTCTTACCTTCTTCCAAAGTAGAGAAAGAATATTGAGTTTGCAATTGTTTGTAAGCACAGTGCCCACCAGAAATGGGAGGGGCCCTCCTACTGGGAACCGGGGCCTCTGTAAGGACCATCATACTCCAGGTGTTACAACAGTAACAGTGTAGCCCATAGGGCTGAGCAGTGCTGGAGGCCTGACAGAACCCACAGCATGTGCTGACACAGGAACATGCTTGGGGCAGCTCAGGCCTGTGCCCCAAGCCCACTCCTCACTCCAGGCTCTGTAACTGAGGCAGAGAGACAGCACATGATCCAAGCCCAAGTGCTGGAAAGCTCCAGGGAGCTGTCACCCACCCTTGTATACTTCACTTAGGTGAGCATGTAATTTTAGCATCGAATGCTGACAGGTTGAGAGCTATGTGAAATTTTATGTGTTGATTTTAAAACCTTTTAGAGGCACCCAAATTTTGGTCTCAGCTCAGATGATGTCCAGCCTTTGGAGTGTGGAAGGAAAAATGTATTTCAACAAGTGGCCACCAACCATAGCAACCCCTGAGCTGATAGAGACTAGATCACTCTCCAGGAAGTGGACAAGCAAAGGCAGAGTGGATGAGGGACCCTAAGCTGGTCATCCTTAGCCCCCTGAACGTGGGGAAAATAGGCACAGGGACACTGCAAGTGGGTGGTCTCACAGGGAGTCAAGGGCAGAGCTCCCAATTTCAGCAGCCCTAACAATTACCACAGGTCGCTAGGTTGGGGTCCAGGGACTCAAATTTCCAGGCTGAATTTTGCAAATATGAGATCAGGACCGTGAAACACAACAGGCTCCAGAGCCAGATCCCTGTCCTGTCCTGCAGCCCCTCAACCTAGCAACATACAGCTCCACCACGGTCCCTCAGAGGCCTCTGCCCTTGTGCTCTCTGTCCCAGTGCTGGCAAACCTGTGCTCAGGAGGATGCCGTGGCTGAGAGAAAAGGCTAATTTTTTTATTCACCAAATAGAATTTCTTAATGTAACTTTCTAGGAGGCCACGCCTTTCCATACAAGTGCCACCTGAACAATAAAATAACAAATGTTGCAGGCTACACACACACACACACACACACACAGGCACACACACACAGGCACACTCCATTCCATCCCAGGTTGCGCACGGGGTAGTTGCAGCGCCTGCGCAGAAGCCTTTCTTGAACTCCATAGGGTCCACTAACCCAGGCTCCCCGGCCTCCGCCTGCAGACCCAGCCCCCCAGCTAGCGCTTTCTCCATGCGTCCTGGGGTGCCCTCAGGGCTTGGGGACTTGGGCGGCAAGAGTGCCACCTGGAGCACTGAGTGGTGTCCCCCGAGAGTAAGGGGGCAGATGCCAGGGTCTTCTCGGAGTCAGTAACAAGAGCCCTGGAGGGAGAGATGGGCGGAGCCGCAGATCAGGGAGAGGGGCGTGCCCAGGACGGAGAGGGGCGTGCCCAGGAGGAGAGGGGCGTGTCCTGTGCTGGGCGGGGCAGTCCTGACCCGGCACAGCCGAGTCCAGGCTGTGGCGAGCGCCGGGCAGCTCTGCTGAGGCAGGCGCAGCTCTGGTGCAGGCGGAGGGACAGCACCGCCGGTGGCTTCTGGACCACGTGATGACTGGAGGGTGAGTGATACCCAGGCAGGAGTGGTAATGGGTGTCCACGGAGCACCCACCCGCCATCCCGGGGCCGTGATTAGGCCTGGCGCGGGAGCCTGAGCACTTGTGCCCTTCGGCCACTACGCACGAGTCTCCTCCCCCTGCCAGCCTGGCGCATTGCGGGCCTCGGGGCCCGGGCTGAGAGTGGGCACTGCGCCCAGGACCTCCCATGAGACGGCACTTAAGCGGCTAAAATCTTAGCAGGACCGTTGAGCGCATTGCCAGCCACACCTGTGCTCAGTCACCTCCCCTCAGCCAGTCTCCTAGAGGCATGGTCAGAGGTCGCTCCTGCACAACCATCTGATTTCACAGATAGAAAAACTAGCTATGATAGCAGACCAAGGTTCATAGCATTGCGGCATTAGTGCTTTTATTATCCCCATTTTCAGATATGAAACTGAGGCTTAAAGAGTTACAGAGGGTTTGGGTTGTAGCTAAGTTGGTAGAGTGCTTGCCTCCTCGCCAGCATTAAGGTTGGGTTGAATTCTCAGCACCACATAAATCAAGCCCCTTAGGTCGCTTGTAATTCCAATATTCTGGAGGTGAAGACAAGAGGATCCGAAGTTCAAAGTCATCCCTCAGCTACATAGTGAGTTTGAGTCCGGCCTGGGATACATGATACACTGGAGAGAGGGGAGAGGGGAAGAGGGGAGCTGTACCCACCAGTCTCTTATACTTACACCCTGGTCTAAAGTGTTCCCAACTCTCAGACTGCAGGTAGCCTCCTCTCCTGTCTGGCCAGCGCAGGTGAACCAGTGCATTATTAAAACCCTGTCAGGAGAGCCTAGAAATCCCATCTTATATGGAAATTAAAGGAAGTCACACAGCAGATAAGGGCTGGGATTCAGGAATTGGAAGAACCCAGCCAGGTTAGGCTTTAAAGTGACCACCACCCTGGTAAAAGAGTCCCTGGCTGCCCTCACTGCGGTTTAACCCCCCCAGCACTAAATGTCAATCAGGACTTAGAGCAGAATCAGGAAAATAAACAGAAGTTCAAGTACACAGTAGAACCAACAGGTGAATGCAGACCTGCTCTTTCCTGTTCCTCTCTGCATCTCCTGGGCTATGGTCACTAGGCTGGAGGTGCCCGGAGAGGGAAGGAAGAGGGCGGAAGGGTGCTGAGGGAGAAAGAGGGAGGGAGAAAAGAAGATGAAACTTATCTTAGGTCGAAAATTTGCCGGCTGGAAGTTCCAGGGGACTATTGTCATGTCTGTGCCTTTGTTTTCATTAGCTCCAGTCATAATCTCTCTGTGATGTGAGATTGAGAAGAAAGTTCCAGTCTCCCTGAGCAGGGCCAACAGGACTGTGACCCAGAGGACACGAACAGAATGTGGCAGTTCAAGCCCCATAAGTGTGAGCCTCAGAAGGGACAACCTGATGAGGGAGGCTATTAGAAAGCCCTCTGGACTAATCCTCTTGGTCCTGGTTTCAGGGCTAAACTCCACCTGTCTCCTGACTTTTAGCAGCTCCTGTGAGGAGGCCTCTCCTCCCATTTGAGTCCCCGCATTCCCTTCTCAGAACCTTGCTGCCTCCCCAAAGCCTGGTGTCAGTGGTGTTTGAGCCCCTAGGATCATAATTGTTTAGCTGATAAAGAACTCCAGGCTCAGACAGAGAAAAGGTCTGACAAGGTTGCATAGCCAGTGGGTCAGAGTGAGCTTTGAACCTAGAGTCTTGGAAAAACTAAGTGATTAACCTCTTAAAAATACACCAAAGAAAATGTTTTGAAATTTTTAAAAATTTATTTTGATTTTTTTTATGTGTATGAGTGTTTTGCCTGCATATATGTAAGTGCACGCATGTCATGCAATGCTCATGGAGGCCAAGAAAAGGTGTTGGATCCCCTGGAACTAGCATTAAGGATGGCTGTTTACCACCAGTGGGTGCTGGGGAATTGAACCCAAGTCCTATGGAAGAAGACCCAGTGCTCTTAACCACTGAGCTATCTCCCTAGCCCCTTGAAATTATTTTTTTAATATTTATTATTTTTATGTGTATGAGTGTTATGCCTGCCTGTAGGTGAGTGCACCTGTGTCGTGCAATGCCCGTGGAAGACAGAGAGGCTGTCGGATCCCCTAGAACTAGAGTTATGGACAGTTGTTAGCTGCCATGTGGGTGCTGGGATTTGAACCTGGGTCTTTTGCAAGAACAGTGTTCTTAACCACTGAGCCATCTCTCCAGCCCCTAAATTATTTTTATTTTAGAATTTTATTATTATTGTATGTGTATTATGCGAGGTGTGTGTGTGTGTGTATGTGTGTGTGTGGGGGGTGTGCATGCCACGGTGCTTGTATGGAGTCATGGATCTACAGCTTTGTGGAGTCCATTCGGTCTATCCACCATTATATGAGTTGGGATCCCACTTACATCCTCAGGCTTAGGCAGCAAGTGCCTTGACTGAACCATCTCACTGGCCCTTGAAATTGCTTTAAAGTAAATGCTCCCCCAGCGCTTCTGCAGTTTCCCGTTTCTGAAAGGGAACTTGTAGTTCCCTGGGTCTCCTTCCTGGATGCAGGGCCTTCTTCCCCCAGGGCCCTCCCCCGAGAGGGATTTGGAGCCTTGCCATCCCCTTGCCTGACCTTCAGGATTAGAGATGGCTGTGGTTTAGAACCATAAATGCAGTACTTGGAAGAGCCCAGGGACACTCTAGACCAGCTGCCACTACATCTGGCTAACCAAAGTCAGAGAAGGCACCACAGTTGCTTTCAGAGCAAAGCTGGGCTCAAATGACTCTCTGTGATGTTCCTGCTGGTTCCTTCTCTTGCTGTGACACATCGTCAGCCTGGGGTGTGGGCGTAAGTGGAAGCAGGTGTGCTGACCCGTCTTAGTAAGAAAATCTAGTGTGTGTAGTCGCACACACGTACACACAATCACATACTCAGGCATTGTTTTCAGAGGAAGTGGAGGTGTTAGGTTTTCAAAGATTTGGACCAGGGTGTGGTGGCCCATGTGTTTAATTCCAGAACTCCGGAGGCAGAAGCAGGCAAAGGCAGGAGGATCTCTGTGAATTCAAGGCCAGCCTGGTCTACATAGTAAGTTCCAGACTAGCCAGGGCTACATAGTAAGACCCAGTCTTTAAGAAAAAACAACCCTGAATGTCCCTAAGGATTCTAAGATCTAGAATCTTATCTCCCAGGAAACCTCTCCTAACAACTGCACTTGGCACATAGACTAGGTCAGAGATAGTGTGGGCAGGGCAGCTGTGAGTGCCCAGGTTAACCTGGCAGCAGCTGGCACTGAGCACTCAGTGGGTCTGCACAGTTGTGCTGTGCCCCTGGTCCCAGGCAATTTGAGTACCTCTTTGACCCCCAAAACACGGCTGGGTAGACCACTATTTCTGATGAGCCCCTCTTTCATAGGCAAGAGGTGAACTTGATTTAGGGTGGCAGGGACACAGAGCCAGGAAGTGTGAGTCTATTTATTGAGTGTGAGGGTTGGAAACTGCCTTCTCACCTCAGCTTACTGCATCTTAAAGGCTGGGGCAGAAATCAGCAATCCAGCCCCCAGGTGTGTGTGTGTGTGTGTGTGTGTGTGTGTGTGTGTGTGTGTGTGTGTGTGTGTGTGTAGCACTGCCTCTGGGCATCAGCCATCAAGAAGTTGCAGGGGGTGGGAGAAAGCAGGCCTGATCTGCAAAGGGGCCAGGGCCAGTCTCTTCAGAGGTCCTAGGAGCCAGAACAGGTTCAGGTAAGTCCATCATGGGAGGGAGGGCAGGACTGCAGGGGCCAGATACAGAAGAGGTGCCTAGCCAGAGTGGTCAGCCAGGGTCAGGGCAGGAGTGGAGGGGGGCAAGGGCTCTGTGACTGTCCTGCCTAAGACCGCCAATTGGCTGTACACACATTCTCTCAGAGCTTTCTAGATGGCAGGAGTTGGAGTTTGGCGGAGCCAGAGGTGGGTAAGAGGGGGTATTGGAACTGAACAGCAAGAGAGGACAGCATCTGCTCATTGCAGCCTGCTCACCACACCTGAAGTGAATAGCTGGCTATCTACGTGGATGTATCGCTGAGGACAGTGTGTCCAGCCAGATCCCCTCAGGAGGCAGCTGGCTTCTCCCTGGAGTGCTAGGCAGGCCTTTTAGACATCCATTGTTTTCAGTGCAGGCTCCTGTCCCTGGCTGACACTTGGAAGCTGTAACCAGGGCTATGAGGGAACAAGGGACCTTAGGCCTTCCAGATGTGCAGAGCAGTGTGGCCTATCCCCGCCTCTAGCTGCCTCCCGGCTCCCCCCCCCCCCCAGCTTCCTTTCTCTTGCTAATCAGTCACTTCACACTTCATTTCTTGTTTGCTTTAAATCGTACCTAAGGAAGAAAGAATCATGACCTTAGGGAAGATTAGACAAAGGTTTCCAAGCTCTCTGGTTTCACTGAGTAGTTTAACAGCATTTTAATTTAGACAGTGACCCAGTCCCCACATTACCAAGTAAGGACAGCACCATCTTCATTCACTGAAGCTTTATAAGAAAAACCCCATAAGACTGAAAACCAGCAGCACATAGACTCATAGTAAAAGGCTTTTTGGTGTGCTCAGCTCGGTTTCCTGAAAATCCCACTTTAGTAGGCTTCCTTCGCTCTTCCTGCAACTGACCCAGAGGAATTGGGTCTCATGGTGACCTGAAGAATCAGATTCGTCTGTCTTCTGTGATAACAGGCATTAAAAAAAGAAAAGAAAAGAAAAGACGCGAGGACACAGACCTCCTCCGTGGCCTTTGTCCCTCCAGAGCAGGCTGTGCACCAGCAGTTGCTGCCTCTCCATGGCTGACAGAACAGTTGCTAGAGCAGAAAGTGAGAACTGTTCATTGAGGAAAGGTTGCCAGGACTGGCATGCTGCCCGAGGGTCCTCGGGGAGACGGAGCGTCCTTCAGCCGTGGAGGCCAACTTGGAGGCCTGAGCTTATGCACCCTGAGACTGGGGGTGGGGAGCAATCAGTACAAAAAAGGCTGCTGGGGGAGGGGAGCAGCCTGCCAACTTGGCCTGT